TGTAGTATGATAGTTGCGCTCAGCAGGGGTCAGCAACCTGCTGGCGTACTCTATTGGACGCTCGTTCTTAGGGGTTTCACCCTGCATCAATACGGCGCCTAACGCATATCCGCTAGCATCGGTTCGTAGAGTAAACGGCTCTTCAAAGTTTGGTTGGCGTAGAATTGGGCTAGTGGTTAACCGAAGCTTCAGCTCGTCGAAAGCTCGTTGCTCTCCCTCCCCCCATTGCCAACGTCGGTTCTTCTTTGTCAAGTCCGACAAGGGCCGCGCTATATCTGAAAACTGCGGAATAAACTTGCGGAACCACGCGCAAGTTTGCAAAAATGTCCTCAACCCTTTCAGGTTCGTCGGAGGCTTCATTTTCATAACTGCTTCAACCTTCGCAGGATTAACCCTGTATGGCGGGCTAGCAATTGGCGCGGCGGCATCTCCAGTATCGATTCGGTGAACAGCAAATTGAGTAGGTCCTCCCCCCGGAGTAAAAATGTCCTCGTAGACATTCAGGGGGTCAGATAATTGCTGTCGTTCATCTGAAACCAGATGGGTACCTTCGTCACTGCGAAGACCCACAGACGAACAATGAAGTGGTTTAAAAGAGCGAGTTTCAAAAATGATAGGTTGAGGAGTCCTATCATGTCTCACAGACCACGTACCGAGATCAAAGTCGAGTAACACGCCAAACTCCTGAATAAAATTCATCCCTAATAAACTTTCAGTCGCGTCGGGAAGCATAATAAAATCAACAACTCGCGGTACCCCTCGAACTGTTACGCTTACGTGTGCTAATTCAACAATTTGCGCACACATGTGTCCGTCAGCAAACTTAAGTTCTACATATACATTTTCAAATTGATGACCATACTTCATTAAGTGAGCTCTTAAGCTAACACTACCTATAGAGTGCTTAGCACCTGTGTCCACAAGCACTGTACCTACTTCACTATAAATTTCTATTTTTAACACGGGACGCACTCGCGATTCTATTATATCACACGCGGATA